GTTTTGTTTTATTAAACCAAATCACCGACAGGATCCCAACTTTGGCATCTTGTTTTTCCATAGATCATTAGGTTGATGTGCGGTGTCCAGACAGTCTGCACAGTGTGACGGGAGGAACCAGGTCCTGGGTGTGAGGACTCCGACTCAGGCTCGCTCTGCCCTGAGCATGTTAGCCCTCCTCACCCGGCTTCTGTTCTGTCACTCAGAACAGCTCTGGGCTGGTGATCAAAGCCCTCTTGCATCACTTGTCAGCTAGTAAAGGAACAAGTCAGGCAAGATGCTTAAGGAGGCTGGATTTAATTTCTTCATATGTAAAACAGATTGGTAATACCTCTGTCACAGGGCTGCAAAAATTCAAAAATCTGCAAAATCTGGGTAAGATTTGTTTTCTTGCCGTGATGGACAATCCCAAGAGGAAATGGAAGAGGAAAGTGTTCATAGCCCTTTTTGCTTATTTCTATCTAAAACAGGACTGTGTTTTGTCCTTTGGAGCTGTGGCAGCAGTTTTGTGACCATGAGGCAAAAATCACAAGGCTGAGGATATCATAGTATAAATCTAGAACAAGCCTGTGTACCGTCCAGATAGCAGAAGGTAAACACAATTAGGGTTTGCTAATCAGGAAGGAAGAGGAGGGAGGAGGAATGGGAATTAGGCAGTAAACCAATGTAGTTGCCATGCAGGACTTTTCAGTGCCTGTAATGTGGAGGTTTGTGTGGTGACTCTGCAGACTTATCTCTAGCTCCCCTGCGGTATTTCCTACTTGGGTTCATTTGATTAGCAAGTCTTTCTCCACAGGGCACAGGCCAAGACTGGCCTGAATTCTGGAAGCAGAGGCGTTCCAGGGCCACTTTTGATCACAATGCTCCCAACCTGGGCCTTACCAGTGTCTCCACTCGGCTGTGGTCTGAGTAATCGTCCTCACCGAAGTTCAGGCCTGCACGACAGCTGGAAGACCGGCCGAGGGACGGGGCTCTTTCCCAGAGGTGGGAAGTAGCTCCCAGTTGTGCCGCTCCCGCAGGTGTGACCTGACCCTAAAGCAGCACTGTCTGCAGCCCCAGGATGAGGCCAGCCCATCTGTCCGCTCTGGGGTGAGGCTGGGGCCCCTTTGCTCCTCCTCTGTGTCACCCGGGTGAACCTGGCGCCCCGGCTGCTCCTCAAGGTTGGACGCTGCTCACCCCCTCTGGGCCGCAGACTCTGCTGCCAGAGCCTCTGGCTTGGGGCTCTGCTCTCCTCCCAGCAGATGCTCCTGGCTCACAGCTGCCCCGCTCCAGTCCCGTTCCCCCGCACCCCTCTAACCCCACGCACCCCCTTCGCAGACCCAGCAGGACCCAGGTCCACCAGTTGAGCCAAGGTCGCAAGACTGCCCGGGCCTCCCGCCACCTTCCCGTGATTCCGTTTCTTCTTAGCTGCCAGACGAAAGGTCGCTTCACCTAGGCGGACTCCGGTTCCAGAAGCAGTAGCAGCCGCAGGAGATGCGAACTGCACAGGGCTTTTCTTTGCTCACTGGGTGTGACACCAAGGAAACAGCACGGGGTTTGTCCCCACCTCCAGCCCGTGAAGGAAGCCACCCTGAGCTGTTATATTTCTGCATCCTACACATGCTTGGAGGAGTCGCCCCTTTCCTGTTGGACCTCAAAGGTAGCATATTAAATTTTCTATTTGAATCCTTTTATTTTGTTTGTTTTCATTTTTCCAGCTTAGCAATATATCTTGGGCAACTTCCCCTAAGAATATATCCAATCAGCTTTATTCTTTTCAATAGCTGCAGAAAATTACATTATGTAGTCTGTACCATAATTCATTTAACCAGCTTTCTATGGATAGATATCTAGGTTATTTCTAGATCTTTGCAATTACAGTTGATGTTGTATTTAAGCCCTGTGTGTATATTTTGGAGGGAGACTTCTGCATGTGTTTCTGCGGTATAAATTCCTGCTGAGTATTGATTTTGTTGTTGTTGTTGTTATTTTTTGAGACAGGGTCTCACTATGTAGTTGAGACTGACCTGGAAGTCATTATGTAGCCCAGGATGGTCTCGAAATCACAGTGATCCTCCTGCCTCAGCCTCCCGAGTGCTGGGGTTATAGGTGTGCGCCATCATGCCTGGCTGAGAATTGATTTTTAAATAGATGGTGCCAAACTGCCCATCAAGCTGCAGCTGTTCCATGGGGATTGAGCAAATAGCCCTGGCTTCATTTAAATAATTTTAAAAACTTTGGTGGTTAAATCATTTAAGATAATTTAGACCCTATTATATGGGCAGAGAACACTAATGCCTCTAAGAAACAAAAACATAAGCCATGGAGAAAAATAATGATATATTTTATTACTTTAAATTTTTAAACTTTTTAAATTTTTGAGACAATGTCTCACTATGTAGTCCAGGTTAGCCTTGAACTCACAGTGATCCTCCTGCCTCAGCTTCCCAAGTGCTGGGATTTAAACTTTTATACCACAGAAGATCTTAAAGGTTGAAAGACAAGCCACAAAGTGGGAAGGATATTTGCAGTGTATTACATGGTAATAATATTGGTACAAAGTTTACACTTTTAATTGATAAATTGCCTAGGTTAAGCTTGAACTTGTGATTTTTCTGCCTCAGCCTCCCCGAATGCTGGGATTACAGGTGTGCACCACTGCACCTGGCTAAAGTTCACATGTTATTAACCAAGATAATTTCTCCTCCCACTCCAAATGGGAAAAGGGTAAGAACAAGCAACTCAGAGAAGAGGAATCCTCCAGTAACCAGTGAACTGACACCTGGTCTCATGAATAATCAGGGAAATAGAAATTAAGTGACTGCCAGACAACATTTTTCATACTCTTTCGATTGGATGCTCTATGCTCCAGCCTTTGCAGCCTTGTTGTCGGGGAGACGTTGCCCTGCCCCCACTCAGAGCTAGGCAGCAAAGGGCTCTGGGGAGCCCATCCCTCCTAGTGAACCAACCAATCTAGGGAGGCCTTGTTCCTCAGCCCCAGTCAGCCAGGGCCTGAGGTCTATTACAGCCTGCCCACCCCAGCCCTAGAGCCCACCCACATTACTCCACATAGCTAATGCTAGGTGGTTTGCCTGCTGCCCTGCCCACCTTTTCCAGGGAAAACCAATGGGAGGCTCTGGCACACACACACACACACACACACACACACACACACACCACAGCCCCTTGACCAAGCCTGCTGCTTCCTCCTCCTGTGGCCCTGTGTAGTGAACATGTAAATGACAGGCACTTTTCAGTCACTATCCTGTGGTACCAGTCCGTGAGGTAAACTAAAATCCTATAGGTACAATGGACACACCCACTTTGTGACCAGAGAAATTTTCATACAATACAGAGAGTTGCTTTGTTGGTTACTGCAAAATGCAAAACCATTCCAGGAGAGCAATAATCATGTCTCAGGGTCCCATAACAGGTTATCAAAAACAGTGCTATAGAAGACTGAGCCATGTGTCGTAAGGCTGAAGAAAAGCAGGAAGTCCCAAAAAGAAATGAATTGTGTTGCCAGGCTGAACTCTGAGAGGCTGAGGCAGGAGGATCTCAAGTTCCAGCCCAGCCTGAGCAACATAGTGATTCAGTGAGGCCCTGTCTCAAAATGAAAAAATTAAAAAGAGCTGAAGATGCAGCTCAAGTTCATCATGGGTTTAATCCCCAGCACCAAAATAAATAAACACAATATGTTTGTTCGTGTGGAATTTAAGGATGTTTATGAAACAATAGCATATATTGGCTACAAAGCACTCATACAACAAAACTTTTTAAAAACATGGAAAAAGAAGATTCTTACAGTTTGGAACCTGGTTTCCCATGGGAGAGAGGAAGACGATGAGATTAGAAAAGAGTTCAAAGGATTCACTTTTATCTGTGATGTTTCATTTCTTTAAAACCACAGAAATATTTAGCCAAATGTAGTAAAACATTAAGATTTGTTCAAATAGGGCTGTGGATTTAGCTCAGTGGTTCCACTGCCTGCCTCACAACTGCAGGTCCCAAGTTCAATCCCCAGTACCAAAGAAAGAAAAAAAAAAAAAAAAAAGGCCGGG